ATTTGTTCTGATCATTCTTTATAGGTTAAATAACTATTAAACAGGAAACAACTTTTCACAGTTGAGTTGAACAACTGTTGTAAGCACAAATGCGCAGGGATGGAAAGATTACGGCACATTTGCATTTACTCTTAACCCCGGTTTTTCACAAATTAAGTCTTTATATGCGCAATTAACACGTTGCTATGGTAACGAATAGCATTGGCAGGCATGTTAGAACCGTTAATTGACGCGTCAGACACAAGGAAATAATATTAATAAAAATGTGTGTAGTGTTGAACAGCGGCAAAATTCAAGGCAAGAGTCGGAAGTCGTGGTTTTGTAACGTACGGGAATGGATCGGCATCACATCTGCCGAGAACCATTTAGATTAGCACAATAACAGAATAAGCCAATCTTTAGCAATATAATAAAAGTGACACCAGAAGAAGAAGAGCTTAGGCTTAAAACATCACTTTTTCTAAATCAAACCTAATCAATTATATGTACAGGAACCTGACAGTTCAGTCAAAGTAATACAAATAATATTTTTATTAAAGATACCAGGAAATAAATGGCATCCCGAACCGAATTAAATGCGATCGTCACGTGCGGTCATTACCATAACCTGTTTTTTTCGTGACACAACGTGTGTGAGCACTGCCCTGTAAATAATAAATCTAATAAATAAAACACAGGAACGTGAGCGAGATAAAGAGTTCATGAGCGCTGGAGCCCTAAACGTCATTGAGCTGCGCCGACGAGTCATTAAACGAATGTGAAAATATTTTAAGCGCTTTAAGGCTTTAGGGGTTGCTCGTAAATTAGTTAAGGAGAGATGATGGGCATAAAGATTTCTTAGACAGACAAAAGTATTTGTTTTTATGATTTACTAACGGTTGCCTGCTTCGCGTCTTAAGAGGAAAACGTTATATAAAAGTTCAGATGTAGGAAGTGATTATATTTCATGCGCACTAAAGATTTATAAAAAAATCAGTGGCGCTACAACCTTAGGGCTGGGCCTCAGATTTCTGAAACTGTTTCATGATCATTTGTCAATCTAACAGGCAATAGAATAGAATAGAATAGAAATATGTTTATTTCCCTAGTTCTTATGTTACATTATGTCCACAGGTCGATGGTGTATTCGGCCTGTGGGTGTGTCAGCTACTTACAGACTACATATGTTTGTCTCAGAGAGATCTATATAAGTGTCGTGCAGTGTGTGCTGTGAGCTTGTTAAATTGTACAGAGTAAATTTATAATGTTGTAACAGGCTAACAGGCAAGTAGGTGATCAGCCTCCTGTGATTGAGACACGCCGTCGGCTTTTTGGGTTTAAGGCAAACCAGTATCCTCACGATGTTTCCTTCATCGTTCGAGCGAATTTTAAATGCACTTAGAAAAAGAGTCCATCGGTGCACAGCCGGGGTATCGAACCTCACGAATGAGAGTCGCACGCACGGCACACTGCTCTTTGGCCAAAAGTGATATATACAAACTAATCTTATTTACTGATTAAATTATCCATGCATTGGCGCGCAATTCTAAATTATTTTTTTTTTTAAAACCCTGTTAATTTCAAATTCAGTCATTTGTTTCGACTACCAACTAAAACCCTCTGAAAAAGCTAATACTTAAAACAAAATGATAGCTCGTATTAGATAATTGTAATTAGTTAACAGCATTGAATCAACAGTCCAATCACAAACATGGTCCGTTTTTCGACCATTGACAATCAATCGAAACCAGCTATCGCTTGTATTATAAACACTTATATTACCTACTTCTCTCCTACATACGTCAAATATATCGGTATGTTTATTATTAGTTCCCGGGTACCGGAAGGAAAAATACACAACTCTATTTGTTTCCGTTCATACTCGCCTTGGAATAGATTTGTTCAGGCGTAATATCCTCTTTCTAACAACTACAATAAAGATATTAAAAATAAAATAATTAATAATTATCCATTACAATGTTTATTTATATAAATCTGTCGTTGAATTGAGTAGCGGCAAATCATAACTAATTAACTAGCAAATTAAAACAGACTCGCAACAAGTACTCAGAGCTGAATTTAAAAAATATAAAAGTCTATAGTGCGAAAGAATTTTATATTAATAATAATAACTTTAATCATGACAAATAGGTTGTGACGAAATTCAAATATCGCTAGTCCTCACACAGGGAGTCCCTGTGTTGTAACTAAACAACAATTAGTCAGTGGTACATGGTACATGGTAGGTACATGTTTCAGGAGTTAGATTAAATATGGCGGTGTGTTTCTTGGCAGTTCTTTTCGCTCTACGCCCTTAATTGCAACTTTTAATTTCCTTTAAATATTGATAAATAAATTTTGATTTGCTTTACAAGTCCGGGATTTATAGTGTGTTTTTAGGGATATAGGCTGTATCGAAAGGGTAAACTAATGCTAACGGAATATGCTAGGATATATAATTTAATATTCGAATATATGGGTGGTAAAACGATATTTTTTTGTACACCAAGGAGGTCAACCAAAATGGTATTTTTATCGTGTGATCTAATTTACAAACCAAACTTTGCACCCCTCGAACTCCCGGCGACAACCTGCTACTACTAACTTATTAAATAAATACTCGGCCTCTTTTGATCATTAAGGCAAGCATACATGAAAAATGTATACGCAGTTTTTTATTTTATTTTATAACACAAAAAGCTACCATTATGGATCAGATATACGACAAACAAAAATCAACACAACATTAAACAGTAATAGATTAAAATATTTACAAAAATAATATTTCTTACAGTAAAGGGACTGACATGAAGCAGACCTTTTGTCACTTCACTCAACAGACAATTAAAAATGTCTGTTAATAAATTCAGTCCATTAATTATAAACAATAAAAATACAACCCGAATAATCATCTAATGACATACACATTGTACAACTTAACAAATTTGTTAAAGATTCTGGAAGGAACTAGCGTTTAAGATACAGGCTAGGCCTAGTTTAAACGCTAGTGCACATAGACTTATTTTATGTACGAGGTTAACCAAAATTAATAGTGAGAACACAACGATTCGTTGTGTATTGTATGTATATAACCTTTAGAATGTAAGTACAAAATGTAATTGTTTTTTCGTCAAATAAAGTGATTTTTATTATTATTATTTAAAAAAAAATATTTACATACATTGTGTCATGTGTGCCCTTTTCGAGAGGTTAGTTTTCGCTGAGGATACGAATAGTAACGGCGAGTCGAAGTCGCTTCCTAACGTAACCATCAGGCACCCTGAGGCCGGAGCACTACTGGATTGGTTTCCTTTCCACGGAACAACTATTTATGATACGTGGTAAGGCAAATTCTCAGCGCACTCTGAGTTGGGTGTAGCCCACAGAATCTATTATGAGTAAAGTTGGATACCTAATCCGGTAAAATGGGTATACACAGTATATTCTACAATACAGGTGCCTGATGAATGTTGCACCCGCTCCAGCATCATCCTATACATTAATGCCTGTTTGCACCCAGTTTGCACTAATGAATTGTACAAGGGGAATACTTGTGATTTCTCTGGACTGCCTTATTAGGAATCCAACATTTCTAAATGGCTTACAATATTTGTTTTTTACAAACAAAATTTAACTTGCCCAAAAAAGTACTTATTAATAATATATATGAAACATTAAAAATAACTTCATGTTTATAAAAATAGCGTTAAAGATTTATTTTTGCTTGTAAACAGTAAAATTATTAATAAAATAAGCAAAATTAACACAAAGGTTTTTTAAAGTTCTTTTAAAAATCTTTACGATTTTTCCTTATTTCTGGGTGATTTGTGTATGGTAAGCTTTATGGTCACGTACGAACGATAATTATGAATGAACGACATTTCTTGGCTTTTTATTTTTGTTCGTTCGTTCAGAGGGACACAGGAACGTAAATATTCATTGACGTGTGAATGTCTTGTGTAAAGATATGACAGGAACACCTATTGGAAGGAAATAGTTTTAAGATATTTAAATGTAATACAGATTGGGAGAAAATGTGAAAAGCGTTGGTTAATTTTTGACAAAGATGGATTTTCACTGGCTTTGTAGTTTGTTTTTGCTTGGTTATAGTTAGGTACTACTTGAATAAATGTCTAATGATTTATAGCAAAGATTTCGTGTTTATAAAAATAATATTCCATTAAAAATACTCTTATCTATTTTATTTATAAGTCTTTGGTATTAAATATAGTTCAATATAGGTCCTGGATTCCTAATTAAACATGTGTTTTTTGTTAGGTATTTTTTTAGGGTCAAATAAAAATAAATAATAATTGTAATAATTTAATATCACAAACATAGCCGTTTGCGCAGTCATAAATACTATTTGAACTATACAAATAATGATTAAGTCATAAATACACTGGCTCTATATTTTACAATATAATTAGCTGCTTCATTAAAGCTAGTCATAGTTTTGTAACAGCGATATAAATAGTTAACAAAGAATTCGAGTAAAACTAAAAGGAAACTAGAATAAAATGTACAAATCAAATTATTTCTGCTTCAATCTTTCCCTCGATAACATTCATATCAAAACACTCAGATGAAACAATCAAATAATAATTTACTAGCACGCAAGTTTGGTGGAATGAGAGTCACTTATACTACAAATTTCTAATTGAAACTATGAATTGTACGAAATAAATAACCTTGACTAGCGGAAAATTTAGAATTAAGCTGCCTTCTTAATAAATAATTTAAACAACTATTTACACACAGGAACTGTTTCGCTCTGGACCGAAATGGCAATATAATGGCAAAATAATTCACTACTATTGATGGTGCGAGATTCTCGGCTAAAATTGTTAACTACATTTAAAAGCACCATCGGTTAAGTAGACAGCCCGATTATAATACAAAAATGGGTCAGACGTGAACAAGTTACACACATACTAAGTACTTCTTTACATACGTCATGACACTTATCACCATCGAAATACAGTCGTATCGTGTAACTAATTCCGTTCTATTGTAAATCATCAATCAGTCTTCTGTGAGTCTACAACGTACATCTTCTTGAAGACATCAGAAAGGTAGTCTAAGTAGTTAAGTGTGTCCCTGTATACTAGAAATGCGTAGAGAACCTTGTCGTTCTTGAAGTCGGGAAGTTCCGAGTCTAGGAGTGGAGCTACTTCAAGGCTACGAGATCTCAATACATCCTGAAACAATGAGAGAAAATTCGTTAATAAAGTAATGTACGCGATAATAGTACCTATAACTTCAGATATAGAGACGCAACTTACTAAACTTTACGCCCGTTGAACTTATTTTGATAAATCCTTTATACTTTTTCAGCGCAAATATGAAAACACGTCATATACGTAGGTAATCGGCATATATTTTATACTGTTATGATAAAATAATATTCTAGAATTCCATAAATTCGTGAAAACACAATATGTGATACTTACACTAAATAAGCATAGAACAGCCCGAGCATTATGCATGGTCTTCGTGATGTTCTGTTTGAGTTCAGCATCAGACCTGATGTCATCATTCAAGCCTTCAGTGCTTACAAGATACAGTCCAGCGACTACCATCTTCAAACCCCTGTACATTGACGGCAGATGACTGTCAATATTATTCTGTAAGAAAAAAATATAGTGTTAAAAACGTCAAGAATTAATCATTATGAAATGCTATATGAAATCGCGTCAAACAAATTGCGCTCAATTCCCTCCGCGGTTTCAAAACCTTTATCAATCCAATTTCGAAGATTGTCGAACCATCCACATTGCGAAACCATTGTGTTCTCACGTAAACTATAGTCGGCTGACAACAATAAGTGCCACCGACGATGCCGGTTCTTTGAAATCGATTGAAAAACACATACGGATGCACGTTTTTGGCATCAGCGAATTCGCCGCCTTTCGTTTATAAAACAATCAAATCGTATTTGTTAAGTAACCACCAGTCATTATCTGAATTGCTTGATACTTTATAACTTAAAATGTTTAAAAAGCGTTAGGTTAGATCATGGATTGAATAGACCTATTGATGACAAAAACATACCATTAAATTGTCCAGGTATTCTTCAGTGACACCCTTGTAACGAAGATTTCCTTGCGGAAGACCGTCTTTAACTTCTTGATTTAACCAGCTGTAGCCCTTGAGCCAATCGGTTCCACTCCAGGTGCTGAGTAAATCTTCATATGTTGAGAAACTATGAAGCTTGACCTAGAACAATAAATATATAATATTAGGAATAATTAATGTTTCGTGAACTCCAGCCTTCTTAATACTTAAATATTATGCTCCGCCCACGGATAGATTAACTACAGAAATTGCTCTACGTGGAATCATTATTCGTTTATAGTGTCCACAATCTTCCTTGTAAATTATATTACGTTTTAAGCAAGCGTATAAGCGCTACTACTATAAAAAACTACCTATCTCACTTCTTCAGTAGCTCTATAAAGTGAAAGTAGTGTATCCATACTGTATGATCTTAAAATAGTCAGGAAGATGTTCAGAAAAGAGGTCCAAAATAAGACATAAAGTATGGTAGCCTTGTGAATCAGCATGGTTCTTTGAATGACAAAAATAGAGACTAGTTCGTACGCGTTGATTGACTTCAATGGAAAAGAAGATTGAAGGAACGATAAGCAATTTCCTCCAGTATATAAGGGCCACAAATTGTCCTGGTTCTTAGTACTTTCGGATATTTCGACCACTCACGTAAGTCAATTATTTATCCTTTAATTTAATATAATTAATTTTACTAGTTTTCCGTCTCTCTCAAATATCAAAAAGAAACTTGTTTTGACTCAATCCTCAATTCATACTGTTCACTGCAATCGTAAATTCAGTAGCATATAAGGAAAATTTTGAACAAAATATTTTGATAAGTATTATCATGGGTCAGCCAAGGTCGTGTGAAAGATGAGATCGAAACAGGAGGTCTGTCCACTACCGCCGACATGTCACGTAATAAAACCGTTTCAACATTAAAATTTGACACTACGATCCCAATATACGTGACTAACAACTGTTTATCAAATATAAACCATATATCCATACGTTAGAGTTCAATTTTCGCCAACAAGGGAAGCAGATGCAACATTTATTTTAAATAATTGTCCCTTACAATATTTGGCGATTACGGTAAAATATTGCATTACAATAACACTGATTAAGCGCATACAAATCGTTACCAAAATTATTATTGTGAAAGATTTTATCTATATTGCTTGTTTTGAAAGAGAATTTTAATTACAACACAAGTAGACATTATTGTGAAAAGCCAAATATGTATTTAAAAAAAATGTTGAGTTAATTGGCATGTTCTGTATAATTTAAACTTAAATTTCAAATAATTATGATGAGAGGAATGTGTTGTGTTGACAATTATATACTTGAGCACTAAGTTTAGACGCAGGTGTTCGTCCGGTAGATATTAAAGTATCCATATATAGGATATAAAGTATTAAAGTATAGTCCGGAATATTTTTTATTGTAAAATTGCAAAATATATATATATAAATAAAATATATATATATATATATATTATATATAAATATATATATATGTGTGATTTGATTTATTAAGACACTTAATCATTGGTCAACTGATTTATATTTGTGTATCGTAAAGAAATTAGTATTCGAAATTTAAATTTTTAAGTTATCACTAAAATTTGTTATTTTGATTCAAAAGTAAATATCATTGAATACTCAGAGACGAAGAGGCACCTGCATGCAATAATGCATTCACAGGTCCCGTGGGTGGGATCTAAGAAATTTGACGACTTAGCATCCGGATAGCTAGCTCGAAACATCGGAAGCTTATCAAACAAACAAGCACCCACACAAGCGCACTACATCGCTTACACTCGTCCGCACACGTCTCCAACGCCGCAGACAGCCTGTCGCCTGTGTGAACAACGCTATCGCACTAAGTATGTACATATTGTATGTAATGTCATGTATAATTCAATGTTTATGTATCAAGAAACGTAACGAGTCGATAAGCGTAAAAGAACGCGGCACAGTCTCGCCTCGATCATTTTTCATATTACATTTTTAAAGCAAAATCTTGATGAATATCTGAGCAATTCAACCGTCAAAATATGATGCGATAATTTGACACCGGCGTAGTCTAAAAACACGAATGCTGTGGCACATTCACACGGTGGCCAGTGCGGAGTCACACAGTACCGGTAGGGTTCGTTGAATTTGTTATTGCGTTCTCGGTAAAGCACGGCCAGTTATTTATAAGGAATGAGCTGACGACAGATAACTCGAGTAATTTGGATATTGTGTTTTGTATCACACGGTATTTTTTTCTATACCGTTATTATTTACAATATGCTTACTATATTCTTCAAAATTGGATTTATTAACCTAGATTACTTAAAGCACCTTAAGCTGCAAAATAAGATCCTAATAATGTCAAAATACTAAATACGTCCTTGTGAGTGGCATGACTGAAACCTCACTATAGTGAAGTGTCGATACCAATAAATGATGTAGGTACATTACTAACGAATGACCGACATAATGGGGAGAGACAGAAAAAAATCGTCGGGCAGGTGTGTCGTGCAATACTAATGCGCAATCAGTATTCGGTGCGTATGCGCATCGTCCTGTAGTTCGTTCCGGCTACTGTGCGTTGATAATGTCATTTTACGATGGAGAGGCAGCAGTGAGCGGACAGGACGTCGCCGTCGTTACGACCGGCGAGCCTATTACAAATGCTACCATACCTCATACGCGAACGTCACTCAACACAGCTGGCCTACACGAATGGATATTCATTCATTGTTCCCTTTCCATTGACCGTCCAACACTCGATCATTCTCAGTTAATACCAATTGTTATCGAAATGTACTCCGATCGTTGTGACAACGAATGTCACGCGTGTCGTCGTGGTAGAAGGTCATCCATAAATGATTCGTGGCGCGACGACATCACATTACTGCTCATTGCTCGGGCCACCTTACTTCCGATTCGGAAATATAATATTCTCGGGATTATAATGATTGAATTGTCCCATTGGGATTCTTATTACTCAACGTACGGTCGTAAAAATTCCTGAATGCAAATTCGATCGGCATCGGTTCCGAGCGTGAATGTAATATGTAATTTTTTGGGTGTTAACGTAATTGGGGGGTTTAAAACGCGTTCAAAATTGAGGTCTGCCGATGTGGTGATTTGGCATAAAATAAACGCAGTACAAAATTATAATTAAAAGGGAGGAAGCGGCAGCGGACGTACAGAGGCGAAACCGGCGGCGCCCGCGCTGATGCAATCTCTTCCACGCCATCCGACGCGGTGAGAAAATGGCGCTAAAAAGGTGCACGCAAAGAATTGCTAATGGCTGAAATTTTGCGATCACTTTTAGTAGGAGATTTCACCTAACACCCACAAAATTATTTTATTGAACGTACGTTTAATGCACCATTCACGAATAAATAAATAATCATTGAGCCCTAAAGGTACATGCAGTGTCCTTAGTTCGGTTTTATAGGTATTGGCCGGTCGCAGGCTGCGTCCGTTCATTTAGCGCTACGCGGCGGGAATATCGATGCGATTACTACGCTGCAATTGTCTCGTTACTCGTCCAACACCGTCAATGAAAGCAAATATTTCAAATATTTTGCTTAGAACCTCGTCAATTAAAATGCCTATCCACAAATATTATCTATCTTCAATTCGTGCCATAATTTGTTAATAATTGTTTTTTATATGTATCCGAAAATATCACGTATACACTTGTGTGTCTGAACGCGATAAACTCAAAAACTACCTGACAGATTTATGCACAGTTTCCACTAATAATGTATGTAATAGTATGTTATTCTTTCTTAATAAGTAAAATAATAAGTCAACGCGGGCGAAGCTAGTTAATTTTATATATTAATCAAGTACTTACAAATTTATCTTTATACTCCGATGCCGCATTGAGGGCGTTCCTCGCTTGAATCTCTACTTCTTTAGCTAGTTTTGCTGAGTATTTTAACGATTTGCTCTGAAAATTAAAACGTATATTGTTATTTCATTTCATTTTAAAAAAGCTATTCAAATAAACTAAACACTAGTGTATTTACAATTAGAACAAATTAAAAACAAAATTAAATTCAAATGTGTTAGGTACATTCAATATAAAACTTATTAATCAAGTTTAATAACGAATATAATAATATTGCTCGCATTCAAGGGTACTTACATCAGAGCCATAATCGCAAGGGTTTCCCCAAATGTGATTCTCCTGGGAAGATGACCTACGTTGTCTGTCCATAATTCGATTATGGGGTGCCGCTGTCGACTGCGGTGAGAGCCCTCCCACCAGAAGAACAAGGCAAACTGCTGCGCAGACGTTGACGTATCCTGCAAATTAATGACACGTTAATATAAATAAAAAATTACTGCAGCTGATATTTCTGCTTTACAGAAGCCATAAGGAGGCAGTCAAGTGGAGACTGCCAATATCTATCAACATCAACTTGATAACAATTATCAAGTACATTCATACATTATTTAGTACTAGGTAATCAAAGTTTTCTCCTAACGACAAACAAAACAATTCAAAAGTATTATATATAAACTGCACCGAAAGAGATTAAATTATTTTGCTTATAATTAAGGTTAATGGTATTTAGTCATAACAAGTATCTAAGAAAGATTGAGAATCGATACTCAGCGCCAAGCAAGAAATACAATGATTTTCAGTGCGTTTTTGACATATTTTTTTTTAATAGAACAAGGAGCAAACAGGCAGGAGGCATCATCTGATGTTAAGTGATACCGCCCCGCATGGACACTCAATGCCAGAGGGCTCGCGAGTGCATTGCCAACCATTTAAGAGTTGGTCCAATCTTTTAAGGACCCTAAGTCGAAATACTTCAGTAGACAGCTGGTTCCACATAGTGGTGGCAAAAACTTTCTTAATAAACGCTCTGTTGTGGAACTACGGACGTCGTGGTGATACGGGATTTCATATTCTGCCTCGAAATCCGCTGATGAAAATATCAATCCAAACAACTCCTCTGAATACTCTCCATGTAATGCCATACTAATCCTACCCTACACCGTAGTGCTGTCACGTGACCGCCCGTTGACATTAATTAATTACCCGAAATTCAGTTGCATCTTGTCAATGAAATTAAAAAGCTTGTTGCGTATGCGGCGCACACTATTGTATCGATTATGGTAATCGTTGAACATCCGATGAATATATACATCGCGGCCCAGAGGTGGACAGCCTTTGCTAATTGTCCGGTGAACTTGCGTGAATCATTAATGCGGCAAATTTAACGGTGCTGTGGATATATTTACGGAACTTTTTTCAAAATAATAACACAACAAATTTAACAAATACATATGAAACAATATAATTAACCTTCATGGGGAATAAATTATCGCAAAATACAATTAACTAGATCATAATCGTCCGTTTCGGCGTTACTCACTGATGGCCTCTTATTTACTCTTACTGTTTTGACTCAGTGTGTGAATCACATGTGTTATGTCTACTTTAGTGACTAACATTATAGGATTTTACGCCATTTCATTGAGGCTACAATGTTTAGATATTTTACAGTCAGAAGTTAAAAATACATCTGATTTTACATACAAAAAATAATAAATCAATGGCGCTAGAACCTTTTTAGGTCTGGGCCTCAGATCCTATGACCTGAGGAATGAGAGTCGCACGCTGAAGCCACTGGCCAACACTGCTCATTATTTAACATACAAACTCCACCTAAAATGGACAACGAATTGCCGATCGTGTAAAATTGTGAGACGTTTTATTTTTACCTCTCGTTAGCGAGTTCTGTGGCGATTTTGTTGCTTAGCCCGCGGCTCAAGCGGCGACCAAATAAAAGAAAATTATAGTTATAAGCTCCGCCGCTTATTATTTAACTAAACTCTGAACGGAACTCGATTATCACACGCCCCTTGGGATGAAAGGAAATCGCGATATATTCCATTTCATTTCACTTTTTTAATGATGGTGTAAATAAGGCTGTGAGAGCGCTAACTAGTTAGATGCGATTTAGTTGTAGACTATACTACTTAATTGATGCAATAACAAGGCTGGTACAAAAGACGACCGCAAAGGTGGAGCCGGGCAATAATGATCATGTCAAAAGGAAGGTCCGACACACAACACGCGTTAAACACACGATCATAACATTTTATTAGTGCGCCGGTCAAAAGCAAGCAACCGCAGCTCACCGACAAAAGTTCAACCAAAAAAACTAACAGGTCAGCTCGTAATAATTTTTCAAGCCTTCAATCAACAAAATGTTAAAATAATTCACATCTAATCTCTTTTTAATAATCCCAATCTAAATGCAAACATCTTTAGTATGCGTCTTTCCGTCGATGCAATTTTTTCGCGTCAAAACATAAAAAAATTTTCAAGACCAAATTACAAGATTCCAAAAGTATCTCATTTAGAGGATCAGTAATTACTATGTTAAAAAATATAAATGGATCATGAGGAGACTCGATCGAATTCCTTAGCCCATTGAAGATCTGACCGACCATAAACCGTGGATACCTACACGTCGGTAATACACAGGTTATAAGGGGGCATAAAAAAGTAGGGACCGCGTCGGAGGTCGGCTCGACTACCCGAGAAACAAAGAATTCGTTTATTTTTTAACAGCTCGCTCGTACACAAAAGGAGGTTGTGCGGCACGAAAAAGGACCCAAACGAGAGCACCTTGTTAACCTTTTTAAAAAGAAATCGCGCTCTGCTAACTAGAATTTCGACTCCAAAACTGAGAAAAGTACGCGCTATTCCGTTTGGCGGGGCTTCGCGGTAGGCGCCTGCGAGTGATTATGTAAATAAAGAGGAGATAAACGCGACAGTCTATGCCAAACGACTCATTAGTTCTCCGATTGGGATCGAATACAATTATAATCCGAGCTATTAATAGACACGTTTGTTGAACAAAGAAAATCATTAAATTAACATTAAATTGGGTGTTTTAAATTGAGAACGAATACTTCATTTTGTTCGAAATGCTTAACAACCGAAGTGGTCGTAAAATTTGACTGCGCATAATAAGACAAATTATCGCGAGTAGCGCGTGGCGCGATAACTTATCTTACGGTATTCACAATTAACCGAACGAAAATCGACGACATAAATGAAGTAAAATTCAATTATAATTCTGTTTGATTTCTGTAAACTAAAATATTATATGATATTTCGTCAAACCCAGAAAACCAAAACAAAAAAAGGTCATAAAACGGTATAAATATGCACCGCAAAACTTCATTGTATTACCCATAAATCATTCAGATATTACAACTATCTTATTGTATTTATTTTGCAAAAAGAACAAAGCTACACAAAACAATGAGTAAAGGACTTAAGCTATTAGTACCAACCGATACATAAGTACCGTAACCGAAACCATAAGGTAGATATACTATGTTTCAAATAAAATTCGAAATTATACAGAGGCTATATGACATTGGCAACGATGACTGAAATGCTTTCTTTATCAGGCCAAAACAGTTCGGGCTGTGCATGCCCTTCACGCCAATAGCGAGAACCAATTAACAAAAAAAAATTAAATACCCAAACCAATGAAGCGTTGGACCAGAGCCTAAAAGCATAGTACAAGACTTGTTTCCCATGAAAGAAAGCGTAATATCTATGTCTCCAAGTGGTGTAGGTATGTGTGACGGGCAATTATAATCGTGATGATTCCAGCTCCCTGGAATAACTGTCTCTAATTGTGCGGGTAAATGAAGAGGGTTTAGTTTGAAAATGTTGTTAATGACGAAAAGGATTGCAGCTATAACGAGTTGGACATAGTTCATGAAATTGAGCGGGCCGCCATTAAACTATAAACATGGACTTTTTCCTGTCTTTACAGAGATTTTTCTTTTTATCACCGCATTGTTACGTTTTAAAACATCAATCTTGTGGCTTCATACCTTTAATTATATAGATTAACTTGGTGAGATTTATAGAAATATCTAACTTAACCAATTTTTGTAATACGATAAAAGGTAAATTAACGGTTTCAGCCGCTGTATTGACTTTTAAAAAGGTTAAGTTTTATAATCGCTCAGTAAATTTTCCCTGTATTTTATATATTCCGTATTTCTTCTTCTAAATTATCGGTATGGGTGCCAGCATACTGTAGAATGATTAGCATAATCTTTTTGTTTAAAATTGTGAAATGGTATACCTAACAATAGAAATAATATTTTATGTTATATACATATTTATACAAAAAAAATCTGTTTTAATTGATTAAAATGGAAACGACAAAACCTTAGGTGAAGTACCGTTTCTTACAGATCTCTTGGGTTTTTTGTGTCTAGTCACAGAAATCGCAAAAATACTACAACTTCCGGGAAAATTTATACTTACTATATATAATTATGTAACATAATAAGATGAAATAAGTAATATTTTGAATATCGGGAACGCGGATGTGACCCAAATAATAAAATTAAAAGCGGATCTAACATAATGTTATATAGCTACCTATTGTTAATGAGTGGTATTATTGTCAAATCGATGAAACCATTTTGTTAATTAATTGTATTGTTTTTCTTTAATGATATATAATTCCAATAGTCAGTAGCTAATATCGATATGATTTAAATGAACTGTTTCATTAAACTAATACAAATTAAAGGTAATTTCAAAATAATTCTACCCTATATAAAGCTCTAGCCTCTACCCTAGCAATGCAAATTTATAAATAATTTAAATATCGAATGAGTCGAATGCAACATTTTTAACATTCTGAAAGATGTCTATCTAAATTTCAAAATCGCTTCGTCAAATATGCTTGTGCAAATTACGCATTTTATAGCATGACACTTTATCATTTCTTGGCCCTATATAGAGTCGTGGACTGCAGTGAGTACTAATTACGAAACAGCCCCTGAGTGCTCACATAACTGTACGACTGTTAAAGGATTGAAACATTTAGACAGAAATGTTATTCCGGTAACAGTCCATTTAATTAGTTTAAGTCTATTTCAATTAACATTGTAGAGCGAGATTTGTACGCCCAAACACCTGTTAGCCGGATATTTATATCATAAATATAGCAATGATATCTAATACAATGTATAATTGCTGAGATAAGGATTGCTTCCGTGGGATGTCCCCATATTGTTTACATTATTGGATTAAATATCCTCACGTCAAACGTGCAAACATCTTATATAATATACTTAATGACAATTACTAAGCTCTGGTTTACTTGATAGTTGATTAAAAATTCAATTTTATTTTAGTTAAATTTAAATTCCTAAAAAGCTTAACTGCTTTAACTGTTATTATTAAATAATACTTTATTTATATTTACGAATTTACAACATATGTGAAAAAAACTATCATGGTTTTTTTTTTTAATATGTCTTTCCTAAGTAGTTCAATCTTGACCATAATAAAAAATCCTACTAACTTTGCGTTGCTATATCAACGTTTAACGAGAAATGAGAATGTCCCAGAAATTCAAAAGCTTTGCGAAATTAATTTCCAAATATATATTTAAAGAAAGAAAATAGGGCTTACTGCTTTTGGCAACGCGCGATCTGTAGGTTCGACATCTGTCCACTAATTCACTATCACAGTCACTATATTGGTTATAAGATCTGGTCCTAGAACATCGTTCACAACTTGAGGGCCTATGTACAGGGCCCAGGTACGCAGGGAGCTGCTTAGGGCTGCCACAACAGCTGTCAGACACATCCATCTTTAATCTAATTATCACAGTGCCGGCTTGTCTAAATGTCGCGAAGTGCGGGATACTAATGTAATCCATAACAATTGATCGCCTTTGACATCCCCAAAATTGATGTCGCACGCGTCGTGTCAGGTGAGCGACTAAATGAAATGTTCTGATGGCGCGAATGATAAAGCCTAGCTGAGAGCTGAACACGTGCCTTTAGCAGTGGGGCGCGCGTGCGGGAGAGCGAATGGCGGCAAGGGATACTCGAGTAGGCCCGCGACGACCAATGGTGGTTAAGGCGGGTCTCGATCCCACCCAGTCGGTTACCTGTATGTAGTTTAGGGTCCGGGACCTGTGAGGGTTGAAAATTTTCGCGCTACATTATATTTCCGTTGAACAAACCTACGCACTTAATCGTTTTAGCCGCGAAAGTAGAGGCCTTGGTCGCTTTTTGGCATGATTCATCTTAAGTCTAGTGGTGTAATATTGAATAAAAATTATATTATAGCCTCTTTATTTCCATAATGAATATATTAAACAAGTATATCATATGATTAATTATTACATAATATGTGTATGCATTATAAAAATAAAATATTACTGTGAATAATCTTTAAATTTAAGTTCTAATCATAATTAATAATTTCAATGTAGGTATATAAATTTTAAATGATAAATAAATTAAAATGAATCAAAACTAAAAAGGATCAAAATCAAAATTAATTTTTATAAATTATGGACCCCTCTACGGCTAATGGCCTCCTCCATTTTGCTCCAAAAATAAAAATATTAAAAATATTATGTGGGTAAATTATTTCTATAAAATATCCGAAACTAATCGTACGTAAAATATTTTTTCAGTTTATTTAGTTTCTTTATTAAATCTAAGATGACTGAACTTCCGAATTGATTCACTGCCAATTATGAATCTCAATAATTTAATGGCATCTGTTAAAACTTCAGTTATTTCACTTCAGTTTGAGTCATATTCCTTTTGAATTACTCATTCAAATTTTTCAGTTGAGTCAGAATCCCACGGATTTCATAATACATCTCTATAATACTTTCTCTGACAATATTTGTAAAATAAAATTCAAGAAAAATACAACAACAATAAAACATGATTTTTAGATTGTTAAATACTTATTACAAAACTATAATTCAAAATCTAAAAATTACTATTTATCCAGTAGTTTTTTTTCTATTTAATTTAAGTTTTGTTAAATAAAAGTCTTTCTATATTCACTTGTGCCCGAGAATTTCCCGCGTAATATTTTGATAAAACATATTTTTCCAATCGCAACTATATTTACTATAGGTTACACAAGTATATTTTTAAACCGAAAATATACTACAGATTGTTACTTTATAAGTTTATTAATATAATTACAAATTAAAAACTGATGTTAAGAACACTATAAAATGCTTATTTATTACTAAAGTGACTGTCGACGAATACCCTTAAACTTCTATACAGTCGCGGTACTTTTAAAAGCCGCGAAAAAGTCGCGAAAATTTTCTTTCATTTATAGAAAAATAGTACCGGGTTAATAAAAAAACCGCAACGCCTATAAACACTTCATTAAACATTAATATACATCGTCATCTAAGACGCGATACAAACTGTATCACGTTTCTGCATAAAATTACAAATACGTAGATAAATATAACAAATAAATTTCCATCTTTAATCATTTACAATGATTCGTTTAATTTTCCGTGCGTCTATCCGGCTTTATTTTTCCCCCGACCGGTCATTTCCTTTATAGAAATTAACCAAATCAATGAACTTGACTCATAGTTATAAAAAAAACATAATTGTTATGTAATTAAGTCATTTTATGCGCGGAGTCTAGACTTGTTCCTAGATTTTCTATATGTACACAGTTGTAAGGATGGTGCCTGATTGTGTGGATTATTTTTATGTACTGGTTTATATATGTTCTAGTATTAACAACGCAAATTGATTAGTGATAAGAGATATAGTATTAAAATTTAATTAATAAATCAGTGGCGCTTTAATCTTTTTAGGTCTGGGCCTCAGATTTATATATCTGTTTCATGATTATTTGTCAATCTAATAGGTAAGTAGGTGATCAGCCAACTGTGCCTGGCACACACCGTCGACTTTTTAGGTCTACGGCAAGCCGGTTGTTGTTTTCCTTCACCGTTCGAGCGAATGTTATATGCGCACATAGAAAGAAAGTCCATTGGTGCACAGCCAGGGATCGAACCTACGACCTCAGGGATGAGAGTCGCACGCTGAAGCCACTAGGCCAACACTACTCTTGTTATCAAAATCAACAAGTTGTTGGAAAAAAGCATATATGGAATTTCTATAAAAAACTTAGAAAGCGTTCTATAAGAATCTTGAATCGTTCGAATAGAACTCATATAAAAACTGTGTGAAAAATCAAAAACTGAAATTATTATAGTAAACAATTTGTATAAATTATGCAAATTAGGTAAAAAATGTAATAAATCAAATAACTCATTACTAATTGTACTGATAAGATAATAGGCGAAATCTCTGTTCATTACTAAATTGCCATTCAACAAAGGGTCTATTGAAATTACTACAGGTAGCTACGCCATTTGCTAATTAAGATAAGATTACACTTGACACTAGACACTTGTTTTGTTAATTTCATTGAGATTAATGGTACTTAATCAAATGGGTTTAAAAAAAACTCAAAATAATTATTGATTTTAACAGCCGAGATTCAGACCAACACTAAACCTAAATTTTGTGTAAACCCTATTATTTAATTGTATTTAACAAGTTTAGTTTAGCTAGTTCCTAATATAACCTTTAAAAATCTTAGGACCCCGGATGCTTACGTCACTTTTCAGTTCCATGAACCCGTCACGCCATTACACCTGTGTCTATATCAGCGTGGAGTTTCCTGTCGATAATTCTTCATTCACAATTATAAGTAGCTTACTAATTTTATCCAGAAGGATGAATTATTATATTCTTATCAGGTTACTGAGAATTGCGGTGATAGGAATCCCATATAGTAGTGATTGAGTGGTAGTAGTGTGTAGTGGTTTTAAGGAAAATGTGGATTACACAGTATACGGTCTTTAATCTTTTCCGAACCAATTTCATCAAGAAAAGAGCGTACAAATTCTTGAAAGGCCGGCAACACACTCGCAAGTCCTCTGGCATTGAGAGTGTCCATGGGCGGCGGTATCACTTAACATCAGGTGAGCTGTTTGCTTTGACTACAAAAAAAAAATCATTTCTATTATTAAATTTAAATTATTTCAAATATTTGTAGTAAACTAAAGTTTTGTATCTAATCCCAGTGTTATCAACATAATTAAATTAAAACAATACCTAAACTATCGGTGCCACAGACTTTGCATTATCAGCAAAATTAGTGGCTACTTAGAAGTTAAAACTAAATTGATAACGATATCGCATTTCCGTCGACACGCTGTCTAGCTAAAGTATAAACTATAAAATGCTTAGGTCTATGAAATTTGTTATATTTGTCGTTGTGAAATGTGTCAAGTGATAGCAACATCATCGACATGATCGCTTCAGAAACCACGAATGTTTACAATTAGACGCGTATTTTTTTCAATCAATTTATGATATGTGGAGTGTTAGACATACCAAAGATCAAAAAATATTTATTACATCTTCGTTTTGTTTTGTTGCCAGTCAGAAATACAATATTTTAAATAAATAAAAATATCTATTATCTAATAAAGGTGTAGGTACTATTAAATCGATTAATTATAAAAATCCGCAAAATCAGCCATATAAAAACAGGCTTGCAAGTGTCGTATTAATTTTCATAATGTTATATGATAAAAACATTGACATAATTTTATAATAATTAGTTAAGTTATTTATAATTTTTGTCAACGTTATGGTCGAAATACTTGCCCATGCTATAAAAGCGATAATAATTTTATTATCAAATTGTATAAAAAACCCTATAAATCTACATCAATATTTGTCTAACTCTAATCATTTACGAAACACTTCATTTACATCGACCGCCATGATGTAATTAAAATTTTGTGAAAAGTTAATATATGTTACCCAAGGCGTCATAGTAGTTTCCTCTATATACCCAAATATTTGTTTATCTTATGAGACAGGCTAAATCAAATAGTACGCGACGCTAAAAATACACATAAAAACATTTTGTTACTAAGAATGAATGAATTGACGTAATGGTCAATGCAAACACTTAGAAGTAAACTGTAATGTGTGACGTATGCTTAAGGCTTTTCCTTAGAAGGCTCTATTTATAGAAACATTTCCAATAAAGGATGTTTAATGTGACGTCAAAGGGGGCGGGTACAATACATTTAATTTTTATTTATAAAAATAATTTAACGAAATTTCTTTAGTTAACCTTATCTTACTAAATTAAATAAGACAATATTGTTACTAGCACAAATAAAAACACAATGCTTTATTTATTATTATTATTGATTGATTCCTTTTAATAAGAATTTGCACTGCAAAAATTTATAAAACTTTCCCATCAGTAAAAATAAAACAGCCAGCTGCCCACTGAAGTATTTCCGAGCCAATTTGACTCGGGGTCCTTCAAGAAAGAGCCTACCAATTATTAAAATGCCGGCAACGCACTTGCGAGCCTTCTGGCAATGTAAGTGTTCAATGACGGCATATCACTTAACATCAGGCGAGCCTTCTGCCCGTTTGCCCCCTGTTACAAAAAAAATCACAAAACGGTGCGCGTGCGCGGCTTCGGTGTTGCCAGGTTAACGTGCGAGATAATAGCTGTTTCCCAAAAAAGTCGTACGACAGGAGTTCATCAGATTGACACTGTACAGACAGTTCATGACTGTTATTAATTAACCATTTCGCACGACACGAGTCATACAATGTTTTAATGATGATTATTCATGTCTTAGAATCATTTATTTGATTGTTAAGTAATTGCGGTATCATCGTGACCAGAACGTAAAATTATGAATTTGTCATTAGTTAACGATATGAGTTTTATATACGAGACTGCCATCAGGTACTAAATTATGAATAACGTGAACAGTTGAATCAATATGCTCGTGTTAGGTACTTCTTATATTTACGTTATTATCTC